GTCTGCTCCACTGTGCAGCCTTCATTCTGCACTCCTGTCATGACAGTAATACCAAATCATATATCCCTTTTAATGAGTTATCTCCCTCATATTTTTTAATTGTAAGTTCATATTACCTTTGAAATTTCATATTTATTTTAAAATGGATAAATAACATTTATAAGTATGCATTTTTGTTCTAAATCTTATCATTACTAATTGAAAGAATAGAGATTGATAGACATTATCCACCAAAACTTTATTTTTGCAATGAAAACGTCATCAATGAATGAAGTTGTCCATGAAAAATCCAACCTTAAAGCAGAAAACGTCCATTTTTAGATTATGTGAAGAACACAATGCAGTAACAGTTTCCATTCCAATCACAGAAATATTAAAACAGAATAGAAAGTCAGTAATAGGCAAAAGAGAGAACATTACAGAGATTATTGCATCTGGGGGATAATCAACATTTTATAGTCAGTTCTAGAGCTTTCTTTATGATTAAAAATATGTTCCTATTATTGACTTAATACTGTAACTATGAAAAGATATTGATGAAAAATAGATTGCTAAATATATAGCAATTCAATATTTTCAGTAGCTTTAACTTTTATAAGAAAGTTAAGTACTCTAACTTTAAATAAGAAAGGTGATATTAAATATTTAAAAATGTAATAATAATTGCTTTAACAGGATAGAGCAGAGTTTAGGGCTGTTGTACATAGGGTCGCTATGAGTCGCAAGCGACTCGACGGCACATAACAACAGCAACAATAATAACTGAACAATATAATTAATATTATAAAATATTTCTTACAGTCATAAAAAAAATCAGCTGCAACAGAATATTGACAGGGAACTTCTAGAAGTTCAAGCTGGATTTAGAAGAGGCATAACATTAAGAATATTACCGTTGATAGATCAGCTGAAGATGATCTTGGTAGAAAGCAGAGAATATCAGAAGAATGTTTATCTGTGTCTTTTTTTATTATATGAAGATATTTGACTGTATGGATCACAACATACTATGACTAACATTAATATCAATGGTTGTATAGTGAACAGGACTTGGGGGGAGGGATTGTATAAAAATGAAAGAATTTTTCTTTTACTTTTCCAAGAGAAGAATGAGCTGGGGGGGAGAAGTGGGGAGGGAGAAAAGTGCAACAATGAATGAATGGAAATCTAAAGTCTCTTGAAACTTTCATTAAAATTAATAATTTTTAAAAAACCCCAAAAAACAAACAAACAAAAAACGAATGTGCATCCTAGAACACTTAATTATGCCCATATGAAATCTACACCTAGATCAAGAAGATATAGTCTGAATAGAACAAGGGACATTCCATGGTTTAAAACAGGAAAAGGTGTGTGTTGAGGGTATATTCTTTCTCCCTATCTACTCAATCTATATGCTGAGCAAATATTTTGTGCATCTGGGCTCTATGAAGAAGAATGTAGCATCAAGATCAGAAGAAGACTCATCAACAACTTGTGATATCAAGATAAATCAACTTTGCTTGCTGAGAGTGAGGGGGGCCTGAAGTACTTTGTTGCAGGAAATAAGAGACTACTCCCTTCAATATGAATTGCACCATAACATCAAGAACACAAAGATCTTTACCATTGGGTTTCCTGACTGCTGGTATCCAGGGTATTGGTTGTGGATCTGAGCAAGACAAAATTATTATGTTTCAATCATTTCTCCATCTATCACAATACTGTGGTGTTGGAGAAGAGCACTGAATATCCCATTGACTGCCAAAAGAAAAAACAGGTATATCTTGGAAAAGGTGCAGCTGGAGTGTTTCCTGGAGGCAAGGATGATAAAGCTTCATCTCTCATACTTTGGATATGTTACTAGGAGATGCTATTCTTTGGAAAATAATATCATGTTTGGATGGGTCAGTGAGAGAGAAGATCCTCAAACAAGTGCACTGACACAATAACTACAGCAATGGCTCTAGTGTGTCAATAAAATTGAGGACAGCACAGGATAGGACAGGATTAAAATCTGTTATTCATAGGGTTGTTATGAGTCATATTAATCTTGACAGCACCTAACGATAACAACATGTTATGTAATATTAGTTCTGTTTTACAGACAAGAAAAATTGAGACTTAAAAAGGTAAAGAAAAAATCCTTTGAGATGAAATATCTTATCAGTTGTTGTTATGTGCCGTCGAGTCACTTGCAACTCATAGCAACAAGAGCCCTAAAACCTGCTCTATCCTGAGCCGACCTCACAACACCTACTCCCATAATCACTGAATCGACCAATCTCATCGAGGGTCTTCCTTTCTTCCACTGTGTCTCCACTCTCCCAAACATGATGTCCCTCTCCAAAGAATGGTCCCTCCTTGCAACATGCCCAAAGTATGTCAGACGAAGCTTCAGAATCCTTGCCTCCAAGGAGCAGCCCGGCTTCACCCTCTCCAGGACAAACCTGTTTGTTCTCTTAGTAGTTCGTGGTATATTCAACACTCTTCTCCAGCACCAGAGCTCAAAGGCATCAATTCTCTATCATCCTTAATCACTGTCCAGCTTTCTGATGCATAGCACGCAATTGCGAAGACTATGACCCGGATCAGGTGCACCTTAGTCTCCAGCTTGAAATAGTTACTCTTCAGTACTCTGGAGAGATCCCTGGCAGCTGACTTTCCCAAAGCAATTCATCTCCTGATTTCCTGGGTGCTGGTACTAAGAGTGTTGACTGTGGAGCCAAGCAAACTATATTGATTTCTTCACCATCCATAATGATGCTGCCGACTGGCCTAGTGGTTAAAATGTCTGTTTTCTTGATGCTGAGCTTCAAATCATGTTGAAGGCTGTAGTTCTTGACCTTCTGCAGCAAGCACCTCAGGTCCTCCTCAGTTTCATCAAGCAGTAGTAGAGTTAATATTTAAATACATATATGTCCAAATTAAAAGCTGCTATTTATGTTTTTCATACACAGCTTATGTATTTATTGACTTATTTGTTGTTTTATATCATGAAGTCAATTTCAACTTGCAAGGGGCATATAGGAGAGAGTACAAGTGTCCTATTATTTTCTAGGCTATAATCTTTACAAAGTTCTAATGGAGTAATAAGTGCTGGGCTACTATAAAAGGTTAGTGGTTGGAAGCCACCAGCTGTTCTCTGGGAGAAAGGTAAGGGAGTCTGTCTCTAGTAAGATCTATAGTCTCAGAAGCACTATGAGGAAGTTCTGCTCTGTTTTATTGGGCTATAAGTTGCAATTCTCTAATAAGAGTGAGTTTGGTGAGAATCTTTATGGGAACAGATTGCTAATTTTTTTCCTCCCAAGAAGCAACTGGTGGATTCAAAATACCAGTCTTTCATTTAACTGCCAAATGCTTAATTTAGCACCTCCAGGACTCCTTATGGAAAAATGATAGTTATTATTAATAAAATCGTTTTATGCCTTCTCCTATCTCACTTGCAAGGAGTTTTGCTGCCAACCCAAAGGTGCTTGGTTCGAATCTACCAGCTGCTACACAAGTGAAAGATGGGCAATTACCTCTCATACCTCTGAAAACCCACTGTAGTGTCAGCTATGGGTTGGTTCTGACCTGATAACACATAACAGCAACAATAACTGATGATATAGTCCCTACTGAGTTTTACTGTTAACCCAAAGACTCCGTATATCAGATGGTTTTAATTCACCAAGAAAGATGAGCAGTTTTCTCTTATCATTCACAGCCTTGGAAACTTGATAGAGAGACTTGTTATGTGTTGAGGCCCACTCACTGATTTTGAATTTGAGTTTTGAGTTTATACTCTAAATCATACATGTTATAATTCTTCAATTGCTTCTTTATTCTGTATCTCAGATAGTTGAAGGCACGCATATTTCATAATCTCTGGAACTAGAAGTTACCCTCAGGCCTTATTTGTCCTGTTCCATGCACCATTTGATCAAGTATGAGTTACCCATTTCACTTTTAAAAAGACACTTTTGTGTCTTTCCTCTTCATAGTCACTGTGTTTTCATGTGGGCATGAACTTCTTAAACCCTAGAGAACACTGTGTTGAGAAGCAGAATGCTCACTTTCTCAAAATCACTTATTAACATTAGTATAAATCAACTTCTCTTTACTACCAAGTCTGAGTGCTATGCAGATAACTTTTTAGAAAAGTCATCAATTTGTTATTTGAGACTCTCAATATGGGGATTTTTACCAGATTAGAGAGCTAGCTCCTAGTATGAGTTGTTGCTGTTGTTGTTAAGTGCCATTGAGTTGTAGACAACTCATTCCCACCCTGTAAAAGAAAGTATTATATTTTAGGGCATTATGTTTATCGTAGGAGTACTCAATGAGGGTTGCAGAGTGGATTATATTTGGG